TATTACCCTGTGAGGTCCACTGACTGGAAGGGTCCTGGTGGGATCCACCCTTTCTGAGTGGTCTAGAGACTTGGTTTTAACTGCTAAATTTTTTTAAAATTCCTGTGAGGATGAAAATGACTTAAAGCATCAAAAACTCTCACATAAATTTTAAACCTGAATTTTGGCTCCAATGGGGACCAGTCATTGGTCCCCACTGGTCCTCCAACCCCCACACCCACCCACATCATGTCTATAAGCCTCACAGAGGCAGAGAAAAGCTCATTCTGGCCTTCAATAATCAATACTGACAGAAGTGAAAAAAACAGCAGCTCTACTTTACTTTAAGTAAATGTTATCTCACACAAGACAGGCTTTCTGAAGTTAATCTTACAAGATTTTATTACTCACACGTAACCATAGTGACAGCCAAAATCTGGTCACTTATCCTCCACTTGGTGTGTACAGGTAGGTATATGGCCAGTTGAACTGTACAATAACTAGTGCGAAATGTTTCAAGTACTGAATACATGAACAAGAACGCATTCACACCAACACATGGATCATCAAAACATGCACAATCATAGAATGTGCGTAACAAAACATTCAAGTGCTCTCTTTTCAATAAATTCTTTTTGCACTTTTACGCTGAATGGCAGTGATCCGGTTTTTAACATAGAACTTTACCGCAGTCCAGCTTCTATTTTTCAGTGCCTCTGGTGAAGCCTTAATGCAGGCATTGCAGTCCGATTTTCCTGGTACTTTACCAGATTCGATGAAATCTTTAAGTGTCTTTTCCACTGCCCGGACTTCACCAACTGACCAGCTCCTCTTCTTTGAGGTTTCTCTGAAAGAAAAGTAAAAAAGGAACTCAGGATTCAATTTCAATTCAATTCAATTCAATTTTATTTGTATAGCGCCAATTCATAACAGAAGTTATCTCAGGACACTTTTCAAATAGAGCAGGTCTAGACCGAACTCTTTATAACATTATTGACACAGGAGTGGAGACAAGCGATTCAATTGGCAATTCATCAACTGCTCAGTTATTCAGTTAAGTTTTTTCTTGCCACTGTCACCAAGTGCAGCTCATGGTGGGATTTTTTGGAATGGCAAAGAATTTGGTCTCAACCTGCCCTATATGAAAAATGGCTTGAGGTAACTTCATTGTAATTTGGCGCTATATAAATTAAATTTCATTTGATTTGAAAAGGGATATTTTGCCTTATAAAAAAACTATTTGTAACCTTTTTTCTCATTATTTGTACAGACTGGTGCAGTACCCAACTTTTTATGTATTTCATATTGTAGAATAAACTGGGAATCTCCAGGATTACAGATTAATGTATTAAGTGTTGTGCTGTCTGCACTGACTGGCTGACAACCGACTAACAAGGCTAACCAATGAATGCATTTACAACAAGTCACCAGGTTATCTCCCGCTGTGCAGAGAGGTGCCGTCACTCACTAATATTACCTGCAGTTGGTCAGTAACCAGATTTTTCTGCCCCTTTTCTAAAAATCAATGTAACTAAGTAAATCTAATAGTAAAAGTTATGCACAGTGTTTGAAATACCTCGTTTAGAGTCACCGTCATCACCGTCAGTCTCACCAGGTTTCTGTTTTCTCTTATGTCTTGAGGATCCTGCGAAATAATGAATGATGGTGATTACTATTATTAGTATTATTATTATTGTTAATACAAAATATGTCAGTTACCTGTCAACACACCTTCATTGTCTGAATGAAAGCCATCTATAGTAAGACAAGTGTTATCACTATTGAGAGAAAACATTTCATAACTTGTGATAAGGACAACATGGAGTGTGTTAAATACCTGTTTGAGGGTCATCGCTGTCAGCATCAACAGGCTGCCGTCTTTTCTTAGAGCTCGAGGATGCTGTTAAAAGAAGGAATAATTAGTATAGTTATACAGGATAATAACTGCTAACTGACAACACAATGCTGTCAGTCCTCTTTATTGGTAGTACTGAGCAAGAAGGAGAAGTATACAATCACATTTCTGAAAATTGCTAAAAACTGCAAAGTTCTAATCAAGTGCCAATGCTCAGTTTTTGGGTTACCTTTAGTGGGACGTTCAACACTGCCAGGCTCATGAGAGTTTTGCTGTCCCCCTGTCAAAAGAATAACTTGTATAGAATAAAAGTATGGAAATTCAAAATTATTGTTGAAAAAGCTCAATTTGATTCCACGTCCTCCTCTACTCAAGACAATAACTCAACTGCTGCACCACATGTGGTAGCTGGTAAATATGAAGTCCAGTCCACTATGGTCAGACACAATGAACATATATTATCAGATAAAGCAGATATGATGCTTCATGCAGTAGTTCAGCTGCATGTAGCTCTTCCTTGTAGCTGAGACTCTAGCCGGGTGAAGCAGAGCACAGCTGTACTGGCTGGTTGACAGACTGATTTTAAAACAGAACTTCATTCCACTCAAAAGCAGTTGGTTATCAGCTGGTAGAATATTGAATGGTGGTATATTGTTCTCTTTTGTACAGACAGTAAACTAGTATCTTCTGTGTGTTAAATACCTGTTTGAGGGTCATCACTGTCAGACTCAACAGGCTGTCGTCTTTTCTTAGAGCTCGAGGATGCTGTTAAAAGAAGGAATAATTAGTACATTAATACAAGATAGTAACTGTAACTGACAACAGATCTTGACTAAATGAAAGCCACCGGTATTATGACATTTATGTGCTTGCTTTGGTTATAGTGGCAGGAGATTTCAGGCAGTGATGAGGGATGAGGAGAGAAGAGACAAGACAGAGGAGAGAGGAGCGAGACAACGCACTTTATGAATTTGCTGCTACAGTGTCAGAACTGTTGACTGTTTTAGCTTCATTTCAATGATGTTTTATATTTGATTTTTAAAGAGGTATTAATGTCCCTTTGGTATGCTGACAGCTAGAGAGAAACGGTATTTCATTTGTTTTGTGTATGTAAATACACAAGAGTCATCTGATCATTAGAGTTTGTTTGACTGAAAGTACTGACAGAAAAGACTGTACATTATTAATCATTAATAGTTTGTTTTAACATTGCTAAAAGATGAACTGAGCAGGAAGAATCTGCACATCATTATGTTTTAATTTAATTTCCTTTTTTGTAAAGACAGGTGACTAACAAATAGGATGCACAACGGATAGTGTATAGAATACCTGTCACTGATACTCAGATTGCTCTATTATCTTAGATGTTTTGATAAAGTAACAGGTAAATCATGATCTGTCTCTGTGTTTGTAAAAACAAGGAAAAAAATAAAGGGTTTAAATATCAAGGACTTTTTGTCATTAAAGTTGCTTGATTGGCAAATGATTGACCTTAATGCACACAACTGATGTGTAACCCACCTGAGGAGCAAAAAGATGAGTCCCCGCCCATCTCTGTCTCTGACAGGTCACTGTCCACAGCTTCTAGTACCTGTTCTGAACACAAGGGGAAAAAAACAAAATATCATATGAGAAAAGGACGTTTACTCAGAAATTACACTAAATAAGATGTTAAGAGTAAGTTTTCTTTACCACTGGGATCAATCTGGATTTGATCCAAGCTCATTCATTCACTCATCTCATTATCCTTCAGGTTGAGAACTGTGGACAGTGTGGAGACCTGCTTTCTTAACTTGGTTGAGGACAGAGTTTCAGGATGCTTGGCCCCACATTCCTTTGCCATCTGTCTGATGGCATCTGATCCCCTTAAGTGACTCTTTGCTTCAGCTCTGGCAAAGAAATAAGGATTGTCATCAGGCACACCACAGGTCCGCCGATGAGCAACTAAGGCCTCCATTGATGACAGCATGTCCGGTGTTAGAAGGATCGGAACCTTCCTGTTTCTTTTCACTCAAGAATATCTGCAATCTTCTTGAGACTATGACCCAGCTTCAGAGCCAGCGATGGAGTTTTGTAGGTGTTTTTCTCCTCATCAAAGCCAGCCACAGCTTTTACTGCTTCAACCACAAAGTTAAAGTTTGAAGGCACATAGAAGTCCTTAATTAGTTTCAGTCTACCACCTGTCCGTGACTGCTGAACTAGTCGCCCGATTTCCCACATTTTTTGTCTAATGTGGTCATGTTTGGTTTTGTCATGTCCATGCTTGGCATACAAATGTTCTCCAAGTTTCAAAATGGTTGTCTCTTTTTTGATGATGTTTGTGACTTCATCTTGATACATGGCATTTGCTCCCAAACATTTTGGCTAACACCATCTGGGACAGGCTGTGCATACGCACAGAGCGCCTGGATCCGACTTCTACCTGGCTTTAGCGTGCTACATGTAAGTGAAAGCCTACACTTGGACATGTGCCTCCACAATGACTTTCTTTTGAGCAAAGCCTCACAGTTTATACAGTGCATGTAGTCACTTGCTTTCGCTGGTTTTGCAGCTCGATAGCTTGGCATCAGTGTGCCACTACCAGTGTTTAGGACCTCGTTGTTATGAGCACGATCCCCTTTATTTCTAATAAGGTCAAAATGTAATCTTCGTTCCTTTGACTTCAAAGGAAAACTTATTGCTTTAGCTACAGCAGGTTCATTGGTGTGTTTGCGGATTAAATGCTTTGCCATTTTCTGGCAGAGCATGGGACAGTACAAACAACAATGTGTCTTACTGTAATCTCTGGCACCATTTGACTTTTTTCGCAGCTTCATTACAGACACATTTTCCAGGCTTGTGTCATCACAGTTTTCGCTTCCTGTTCTCTTCTTGTCTTCATCTGAAGACGTTTCTTTCTTTTTTTTCTTGTATGTCCTTTGTGACGTCTTCTGCTTTACCACTGGAACCTTGCTCATGGGACTGTCAGGTTCTTCTGCACTGCTTTCATAAACAGAGGCTTTCGACAGAATATATTCATCACCACTGCTTATAGAGGTGTCAAAGGCGTGTGATGCCTTGGAAATCTGTTCAAGGTATTCTCTGGTGAGCTGAAAATGAAATGTACAAAAAGCTTATAGTTAAAAGAAGAAACACTAACCTGATTTAGAAATCTTAAATTGTCTTGAACCATGGCAACTTAACATGACAATCAGCCCTGTGTGATATACAGGATTAGAGTTAGGGTACAGCTATGAGCCACAGAAGAACAGAGGGATTCATTTTAAATCATTGTTAACTTTGTTTTCCCCTGTATGAGTTAGGTGTCCTACTGATTTCAGAATGCAAACTTACAAATACACTTTCAGTTCTTGTCAGGGGGGGTTCATCTGGGTCCTCAGGATCAGAGTGTGAGGTTTCAAGGATGCTTGTTTCCTCTGATTCTGAGCTTGATTCCTAGGAGAAAAAAACAGAACATCTCTCAAAGAGTATTTCCTAAAATCAATCCCCACTTCCGTAGTAATGTAAAGTCGGTTTTCTGATTCAAACCAGCGTGAGGATACATTGGTGCAATTGTTCAGTTGGTCGCTAACGCTCTGCAATCAGATGGTCACACAGAAGACGACAGGCACTACTGAGAGTCGACTTCTTTTCTGTTGCTATATAAGCGGGACCAGTGAGGTAATTAGACAATAATAAGTTCACAATCACAAACATGTAAAAATCACAAAGTTGGCTCATCATAAAAGAAGCTCTTGTTTACAGAATCCATGCATCTCCTTGAATGAATGAATACCCCTATACTGTAACTACATACACAAACAATAACAATATATAAAACGTTGCGACCCTTTCATCAAGAATAAATATTAGCCTACATATAAATATGAAATATTATGGGCTGAATAACAATATATTTTACAATGAATTGGTGAACCTTCGCGTAAAAAGGTGTGCTTCCTGGGATTGGTACGGATGGGGTTCACAACAGAAATAAACCGCTCCAGAGTTCACTTGATAACGGACCGAGACCCCCCCCTCCCCCTACAAGGTGGACCGGAGAGTGGTTGTTTGGTCTGCACCAGAGTTCGAGGCCGGCGTTCATACCATCCCAAAGAACCACACCAACGGGGCAAACGCTCCAAAGTTCAGTTCAACCAGACAAAACAAGGCTGGTGTGAACATGACCTAAGAACAGTCTAACAGTCTAATAACAACACTGTGGTGAATGTACAGTTGCGACCATTTTTGATAGTGCTTCTGTTTCTGTATGTTGGAATAACTTTGCTAAAACCATAACTCACTTTGACATAAACCTGCACATTATGAAAATGTTAAAGCGCTGCATACAATCAGATATCAAGGTTGTTAGAAACATGATTATTGTTCCAAATGCAGTAAATTTTTTTATTGTTACCAAAACGTAACAAATGAGGGGCTGCACACAGGTACACAGTGTGGCAAACCACTGCCAATGCCATTTTAAGTTTGTGGATAGTCTAGTTTTCACACAGCTGTTGAATTATTTAGTTTCAAACACTTAAATCTAGTTGTGCTATCTCACTGCAGCTGCACACTTACTATCATGACTTTCCAAGTGACCCTACATTGTAACTAACTGGTAATAACAGGATGGAATTGACCATTAGGAGGGTTGTCATATGGAACAAGTTAAAAGCAGTGTTTGACCCTTACCAAGATCTTAGAAGGTAGCTGCGTCTCTGCTGGAAGTCCTGACAGTGGTAAGGCCTCAAAGACAACAAAGACAGGACACATTTACTACAATTTTCAACAAAATGAGTTTAACAAAGAGCTGCAGAACCAGAGCACTAAACTCCTTCCCACATATTTTTTATTATTGAAAATGAAAAGATGCAAGGGAGTTTTAAAAAGAGTAAATCACATTATATTAGGGCTGTGCAATATGACAAAAAAAACGTGTATGCCTTAATAGGTCATTTCTAATCCAGTTAACAGTACTGTAAATTCAATGAATATAAATATATAAATTATATATTGCATAGCCATATCTTTGCAGAGGCAAGTTTTTCCTCACTCGAAGGACAGAGGGTGTCACTCCCTGTACAGATTGTAAAGCCCACCGAGGCAAAATGTGTTTTGTGAATCTGGGCTATACAAATAAAATTTGATTTGATTTGAGATGTAAGTTGCAGCTCAGATTAGGGCATTCAAAATCCCTGCTATTCTTACCAGATCCTCCATGTTTCATCAAAAATAGATAAGAGTATTGCAATCTTAGTATTGTATCACAACTTGTATTACCTCTGTTTGGTGCTCTCTCAGGCGACGTAAGCCTGTCTTTATCCTTGTGAGTTGTCTACTCCGTCTGCATGATGTGAAACACAAACAAGTTCACCTAGCTGATGTAATATTTGACCTATGAATGCATGACTTTAAAAAATCTTTCAAAGATGGCTGTCATTTCTTAACTAAACATTGTCAATAAAATCTCATAAATGTTATGTCTATTAGGAAAATCAAGCCCAGGTTTAAACTAAAAAATAATTTTAAAAAAAGGAAAAATATCTCTGTTACTTATAAATGTGTTACAGAGACGATGAACTGGCTTAAATCACAATCATGAAGCTTTTACATGGCTGAACAACGGTAATTAAGATGTTGTCACTCATTTCAACTAGCTGCTTTTTTAGGTGTGTTAGGTTTATAGGTTCCTTAACTTAAGAACATGATATTAGTTCAAATTCAAATGAAAATGTAAACTTGAAAATGTAATCCCACAATAGCATTATAATTTTCCACATGTTTGTCTTATTTGAGTCAAAATGAAAATGCAATAATATAATTTACACTTTCATATACTTGTATGGGCATTGTATGACCATATTAAAATGAAAATGAAAACAGGATTTGACATTTCATTTTCAAAGACTTAAACTAAAGTGGACATTATTTTAAAGAGCATGTTGACATGCACATGTAAATGCATTAAATGTCAAATGCTGTTTTCATTCATTTTAATATGAGCTCCTCTCTTCCTCTCTCTTTCTGCACTCATTCATGTCCCTTTAATGCATGTTACTAACTCCACTTCTTCCCCGGAGTTCTTGTGCTTTTCGTCTCGCAGGTTCTCATGGATCCTGGTGGAGCCTCCTGCCATGGTCCTGCTAGATTGCCATTGCCAATACTGTTGTTGCTGTGCACCTGTCTGTCTGTCTGTGCTCTCTCTCTCTGTTCTCTCTCTCTCTCTCTTCTGTCTTCTCTCTCTTCCCACCCACCTAGAGCCGGAGGATCTGTCCTAGGTTTCTGCCTTTTAACAGGCAGTTTTTCCTTGCCCTTGTCTCCAGGTCTTGCTCATGGTGGTACAGTTGGGTCTCTGTAATTAATGTTTTAAAGAGTTCGGTCTAGACCTGCTCTATTTGAAAGTGTCCTGAGATAACTTCTGTTATGAATTGGCGCTATACAAATAAAATTGAATTGAATTAATATGGTCATAGAATGCCCAGACAATTATATGAAAATGAAAATATAAATAATTATTTTCATTTTCACTCAAAATAACACATATGTGGTAAATTATAATGCTATTGTGGAATTAAATTCTCATTTTCAGGTTTACATTTTCATTTAGATTAAGTCCACAATACGCTTCCCTTAACATTAGCATCACTTTCTACCTTCTGCAACAGGTCAGAAAGTCAAAGTGTAAAAAAGAAGAACATTAAAAACTACTGTGACATTAGCTCTCTCTGCTAACATTAGAAACAGCTAATGTTAGCTAACGCTGCTGGAAAAACACTAATATGCTTCTGACGCAAACACATCACATAAAAAGTTCATTAAGACGTCACAAAAAACCCATAAAAACCTAATTATCAACCTAAAACTCGTTTTTACTCACTTTTCTTCTTTTTCCGTCGTTGTCGCTCACATCTCTCTTCTGCGCATGCGTCTGTTCTGCGCTGCTCCGACTGACCGTGAGGGGGGCGTGTCATTGAGCGTCATCACCAGGTAGGGGGGGGGGGCGGTAGCGGCGGTCTCCCCCTCCCCCTCCCTGACATCCTTTACTGTCTGTCATCCGTCACTCGTTAGACGTAATGACGCTATTTCCTGTTGATGTTCCTTCACAATAAAAGTATTCCATTCGTGAATGAACGAGATGCTTTTAATGTGAAGAGGATTATAGGAACTTCAACATTTCTGCCACTCTGTTAGCAGACATTGATTTAAAACCGGACTAATTACACAGGTGTGGACCTATTCCACTGTTCAATCAGCTAATCAGTTTGAACATTGTAGGAGATCTGTGTTGTTGTGTTTTGTTGCTTGTTCCTATACATAGTGTTTATATTTATATTACTTCTTACTTTTATTGTTTATATCTACCTCAGAGAAAACCAGAAGAAGCCAGACAAGTTTGTTCTTTATGA